CCCCAAAACCCCAAAACCCCAAAACCCCAAAACCCCAAAACCCCTATTTTTCAAGAAAGCATTGAACTAAATCATATCTATTAAAAGCTGATTTTAGATTTTAGCCTTTTTATCCTCCTCCTTGGTTAACCAAGCAAACTCTTGAGGCTTTTTAGACCCATATGGATCAATGGCAACATTAATGAGATGGAGTTGATCACTCTTCAGAGAAATCTTCAATGCTTCAGCAATCTCTTCTGGTGTTTTGGCACTATGTCCAACTCCTCCAAAAGCTTCAGCCATCATCTCATATTTTGAATCTGGTTGAAGAGCAGTAATGGGGATACTTAGAGCATTTTCATCTTTTTCAATCTCTTCGACTCCAGTGAAGATTCCATTGTTGTTGATAATAATGACAGTGATTGGCATCTTGTATCTGCACATTGTCTCCAATTCCATTCCTGAAAATCCAAATGCGGAGTCACCAATGACTAAAACCACTCTTTTATCTTTATGAACTGCTTGTGCTGCAATTGAAAATCCAAGACCAACTCCCATTGTACCAAAAGTGCCAGCATCAAGTCTGTGCTTGGGATGGTAGTTCTCTAAGATAGTCCTTCCAATATCCATAGTGTTACTTCCTTCGCTAACGAGGATTCAGTCCTTTGGAATCATATTTTGGATGACAAACATCGAGTTGTAGTAACTCATTGGGAGGGTTTTATCGTTGTACATTGCTTCTGAAACTTTCTTATTCGATTCCACTTTATCATTTAGTCTTCCCCACCACTCGCTGTCACTCTCATAAGTGTACTTGGCAGTTGAACTATTGTGCTCATTGAGTTGGTTCAGGATACATTTAGCATCACCATAAAGAACTACTTCAGATTTGACATTTTGATGGATCTCTTTTGCATCATTCTCAATTTGGATAATTTTTACATCTTTTCTAAACCGAGGAGAGAGTCCAAAGTGTAAAATCCAGTTCAGTCTTGCACATGCTAGAACCACAACGTCTGCATCCTTAAGAGCTAAAGATCTTGCACTTCCGACAAATTGAGGATGATCATCTGGGAGAGTTCCCTTTGCCATTGGGGTAGGCAAAAAGGGGAGCTTTGTCTCTTCAATAAATTCTCTCATTTCATCTGATGCGTCAGCATAAGCCACTCCTTTTCCGACAATTACAAGTGGATTTTTAGCATTCTTCAGAACATCAAATGCTTTGGAAATGCAAGTTGGATCTGCTAAAGTCTTTGGAATATCTTCAACATAGTCAAACCATTTGATACTATCTTCATTGGCTTTCTTGACTAAGATGTCTCCAGGGAAGTCAAGATATACAGGTCCTGGAGTCCCATACATGCTTTCCCTAAAAGCTTTAGCAATGTAGAATGGGATTCTTTCAACCGATGATACTTTGACATAATACTTAACAAAAGGTAGAGATGCTACTAATTGATCACATTCTTGGAAGCCTCCTGTTCCATCTTGATTAGTATCATGAGCTCCTCCAATAAGAATCATTGGCCATTTATTAGCCCATGCGTTTGCCAATCCAGAGATGCAATTAGTCATTCCTGGTCCTGATACGCTCATGCAGATTCCTGGTCTTTTTGCTAGATTGATCAATTAATTTGATATCTTACACATGAAGCCATCTGCTCCTGCTGCATAACTGGCTGCTTGCTCGTTTCTGAAACCGTAGTATTCTATTCCTTCACCTTGGATGCAATAGCCAAGATCGATGACTGGAATTCCACAGATTCCATAACACCTTTGAGTGCCTTGCTGCTTCAATGCTTTTGCCACAATAGTAGCTCCGGTTAAATCCATTTTAATTACGTAATTCTATTAGCATTCAGATATAAGGGGTTTTGGGGTTTTGGGGTTTTGGGGTTTTGGGGTTTTGGGG